ATCTCCCAATTCCGTCCTATTGGTTTGTGTAATGTGGCTTATAAGATTGTTACCAAAATTATTGTTCTGAGACTTAAAAAGAAAATTGGTAATCTTATTTCTCCCCTTCAAACTAGTTTCATCCCGGGTAGAAGCGGTATGGATAATGTTCTTATTTTGAGAGAGCTAGTTCATTCCTTTTCTAAAAGGAAGGGGTGTGTGGGAGATATGATTGTGAAACTTGATTTAGACAAGGCTTATGATAGATTAGAGTGGGGTTTTATCCGAGAAGCCCTTAGTTTCTTTAATTTTCCCCCACCTCTAATTAAGTTGATTATGTCTTGTATTTCTTCGTCGGAATTTGCTGTCATTGTGAATGGGAGAATTGGTGATCATTTTCAACCTTCTAGGGGTCTTAGACAAGGGGACCCTCTTTCCCCTTATCTATTTATCCTTTGTGTTGAATATTTATCTCTTAAGCTGCAAGGTGGTATTGCTTCTGGTAGTTGGAAAGGAACCAAACTGGGTAGGAAAGGAACCAAACTGGGTAGGAAAGGTCCCTGTCTTTCCCACCTATTTTTTGCAGATGACCTGGTTTTTATTGGTAAAGCTACTATAACCAATGCTACCTTTCTCAAGGAGGTACTTTTCTCTTTCTGCTCTCGGTCGGGAGAGCAAGTCAATCTTGATAAATCAAAAATTCTTTTTTCTGTCAATACCTCGGAGCCTGTCAAGAATGCTATTTGTTCCGTTCTTTCCATTGCTGAAACGGACCATTTGGGAAAATATCTTGGTGTCCCCATCACTCCCAAAAGGATGTCTAAATCAGATTGTAATTTTATTGTGGATAAGGTGCGGCAAAAACTCACTGGCTGGAAAGCTAGTATGCTGTCCCTTGCTGGTAGGACTACTCTTGTTTCTTCAGTTCTGTCATCCATTCCTAATTATTATATGCAAGGTATGTTTCTCCCAGCAGCAACTCATGCTGAGTTGGACAAGTTATCTCGACAGTTCCTTTGGGGTTCCACCCCCCAAAAAAGAAAAGCAAATCTTGTGTCTTGGGATAAAATCACACAACCTAAAAAATTTGGTGGGCTTGGTATTCGTTCCTCTAAGGAAGCAAATCAAGTAGCTATGGCCAAAGTCCATTGGCGTATGCTTACGGAAAAAAATAATATTTGGGCTAAGGCTTTTCGGGACAAATTTAATATTATTGAGCCTAGTAGCAGTTTGGACAAGGCCTCCCCAATGATAAAAAATATAAAAAAGGGGAAACACATCATTGATAAGGGTATTAAATGGATTCCTCGTATGGGCAATAAAATCTCTTTTTGGTATGATACATGGGTGGGTAAGGATCCCCTTAGCTCTGTGATTTATGGGCCACACCAGGTTAATGCCCCTGATATTACTATTAGAGATGCTTTGCTTTCCTCCGGGGAATGGAACTATGATTTGATCTCATATCCACTCCCTACTGATATTGTTAATAGGCTAAAGGCCATTCCTTTTAATATCACTGATGCTGGGACTGATTCTTTTATTTGGGGATACTCTAGCAATGGTCTTTTTAAATCTAAAACTGCATATTATCTTGCTAAGAACCTCCCTTTTGACAGCAAGTGCTCTTGGTCCTGGATTTGGGATATGGATACCATTCCTAGAATTCAGATGTTTATATGGCTTTTAAAGCATGGCAAATTGCTTACTTATGACACTCTTTTCAATTGGGGCATTGTGGAGTCTAATAATTGTCCCAGATGTCACCAGGCTCCTGAAACTCTCAATCATATCTTTAGAGAGTGTTACTTTGCTAAATTGTTGTGGTCTCTTCTTACTCCTCATCCTATTAACAATCTTTTTCATGATCTTGATTTTGATGGCTGGCTCTTTGCTCATTCTAATCAATCAAAACTTTTTGGTTGTGGGGGATGGAGTACTTCCTTCTCGTACATCACTTGGTCCCTTTGGTATTTTCGAAATCTTCTGGTTCATGAAAAGAAGAATGTCTCGTTGGTTATGGCAAGGGATTTCATCTTGTTAAAAATCAATGAGTATAAGCAGCTTCATCCGGTTTCGTTAAGTGCTAAAACGGTTTCTACTGTCTTTGTTGGTTGGAACCCTCCCCCTCCTGGTGTTGTGAAGTTGAACACTGATGGTTCAGCTGTGACAAACCCAGGAAATGCTGGTGCTGGAGGAATTTTCAGAGATGATCTTGGTAACTGGCTGTTGGGATTCTACAGGAATATTGGATATACATCCAGCCTTTCGGCTGAGCTATGGGCATTAAGAGACGGCCTTAAACTGGCCGTGGACAAGGGATTTTCCCAACTCATTGTTGAAACTGATTCTATGGTTGCAAAAACACTAATTGATTCTGCCCATTCTGATTCTCACTCACTGGGGGTTTTAATTGATGATTGCAGGGCTATGATGTCCCAAGTCCCCAGCATCCAGTTTAGACATGTGTTCAGAGAAGCCAACAATGTTGCTGACT